GGGGCTCGATCCCAGGACCCTGGGATCATGACCTGAGCTGAAGGCAGACGCTTAACGACTGAGCCACCCAGGCACCCCTAAACTCTTCTTTTTATAGCAAATTTATCTGAAACTGAAAAGAGACACCACAAGTGGCTTGCAATTCCTTGAAACAGGCAGAATGACCTTCCTCTAGGGACTCAACTGCCTCGATGTTAATACTTTTTTTAAAAAGATTTTATTTACTTGACAGAGAGAGCACAAGCAGAGGGAGCAGCAGAGGGAGAGGGAGAAGCAGGCTCCCCGCTGAGCAGGGAACCCAATGTGGGATGATCCCAGGACTGAGCCAAAGGCAGATGCTTAACTGATTGAGCCACCCAGGTGCCCCTTGATGTTAATACTTTGCTAAGGGCAAAAGGGAATCTTAGCCCGACCCCTCCCCACCCCAAGGATCCTGTAAGTCTACTTTAGCACATAAAAATTCCTTTGGAAACTTCTTTTATCCCTACCCCTGAAGATATATGTTGACAATCATTCCCAAGAGTATGATCCACCAATATACACCTGAAGGGTCTCATGACTAAGATTTTATTAGACAGTAGTAAATGACCTTTCCTAACAATAGCTAGCTAGCCCCTCAAGGTCCTGGAAACTTGCTTCCAAATTCCTTAGAGATTTATGCTATCCCTAAGCCCCTCCCATCTTGAAAGTATATAATCAGCCACTCCTCATAAGCTCTTTGTGCCCAAGGATCTGTCCCCGTGCTTCAATAAAACCACCTTTTTTGCACTAAAGACACCTCAAGAATTCTTTCTGGACCATTTGCTCCCGAACCCCAACATTTTCATATCATTCCCCACACTGTTTTACCTACCAAATTATATAACTTCATTTGCAATAAAATGTATTTCATCACCAAGAAGTAAGATTCTAAAATTCTGCTTTCTGGCTACAGTCATTTTTTCAGTGTATCTCCCAAACTTGCTCTTCATCAATCTTTGAATTTTCAGTCTTCTTGATAGAGTAGGCAGTTAGCCAGACATAAACAGGGAAGGGGTTTTTCCAAATGTTGAAAAAGCCGGAACCCACCAACTACCTCCAGAGCACAAATAGCTGGAGAAATCCCTGAGAGAAATGCAGATGCATACTCCCTATACCCACTGTCCTCAAAGGACCCATGGCTTCTTTATAATACATTTACATTGCAGTTTCACACACACACACACACACACACACACACACACACACTGTACCCCTCACCCTCCTACCCCCAGTTTCACAAGGTATGATGGGAAGTCTCCCCAAGGAGACTAAATACAGAAACAGGGTGGAGGGAAGGGTGGGACCAAAGGAACAAGAAAGAAACTGTAGCTAAAAAGGTGGAAGTGCCAACATTTTGGGGCTCCTGCGCTCTCTCTCTCTCACTCTGTCTCTGTGTCAATCTCTATCGGTCTCATAGCCTGCTCCACCTTCCTTTGTTTTCAAGTGTCCTTTTGTTTTGGCTGCTAGTAAACGCTCGCTTACTGAGAGTTTGGCTCTGAATTCTTTCTGGGCCGAATTCAAGAACCGAGGACAGGAAGTGGGGTTCCCTGCTGACATGCTAGTCTCTTTTTCTGCAGTTTATCACACTCCTTCTGCCTTCACACTGTGTTCTGCTATCTCAAATATATGCCTTCTTTCTTGTCAGAAATTATTGTTTCCTTAACCTCATACATTCCTACTTTGCCAAGCCTCATTCTTTGGTAACAAACCAATCTTTCTCTTTCCTCCGCCCTGAGCTGATGAGGTGAAAGTTCATAAAACCAAACTTACTTAGCATGCAGTAGGGTTTTCTGTCATGGGCAATTCTATATTTATATATAGAATAACCCTACATAATATATATACATATATACATACATATATATAATACATTATATATTACCTATATATACGCATTTTAAAGAGTATGTCGATGCTTTGTATCTCAAGATCCAGGGCTCATTGCTGGTAAACATAACCCATAAGCCCTAAACTCTAAACATCACTCTCTCAGCTAACACCTTTCAGGTTCCATAGAAACACTTCACATATTGTTATTTGTTTTCAAAACAAAAGATGACTGTATCTG